AGGAAGGTGACGGAGCTACGCCCTCCTTGCCGGTGATGAGCAGGGCTGGCAGAGTGGGGTTTGAACCGAGGCCCTGGTCTAAGCTCAGCCACCTTGCAGTGGTGCCCGGCCATCTGCACCGGGCGCTTGTTCATTCAGATTTCAGGTCTTCAGCGTTAATATGGTGTCTGTACAGAATGCCACCTCTCCGAGCTCATGGAAGTGCCACAAGCATCAAAGGAAGACTTTCTGGAACTGCTTTGTAAAAAGTGCTAAGTAAATATTACCAATCGCACGCACTTGTTAAAGATAAATAGTAGATAAGAAATGTCAGCCACCAAGAGCTGCACTGTGAACCTTGGAGTTCATGAATGCCCACCTTAACCAAGTAAAGGGCTCTCGCAACTGCAGGCTTCTGAGAACACCCTGACACACTGTTCTTTCCCCTAAATTACTGTAAGAAGCTGCAAGCACCCAGTGTTCGAATTGAGTGGGATCTCATATTAGCTCACGTTGCTCAGTCCGCGTGGGAGCTAACCCGGACTCCTACAGCTTCTGCACAATTCCCCGCAGAGTGAGTCATGCAGACGTGAAGTCCTCCTTTGTGCTTTGTACCGTCTCCGTGGTTCTCCAGTCTGTGGTCAGCATGCCTGAGGGTCACACAGCGGTGTGAGTCTGCCTTCTGTAGAGCGTGGCTGTGGGACGGCAGGTGAAGTGCGGCCGCGTGTGGCTCCGACAGCCCACACCTCCCTGGAGGCCTGGGCCTCGGGGCTGGGGCAGGAGCCGCGGCCCGCAGGGCCTGGCAGAGCGCGTGTCACCGCAGACCGCGTGCGGCTCCGACAGCCCACACCTCCCTGGAGGCCTGGGCCTCGGGGCTGGGGCAGGAGCCGCGGCCCGCAGGGCCTGGCAGAGCGCGTGTCACCGCAGGGCCTGGCAGAGCGCATGTCACCGCAGGGCCTGGCAGACCGCGTGTCACCGCAGGGCCTGGCAGAGCGCGTGTCACCGCAGGGCCTGGCAGAGCGCGTGTCACCGCAGGGCCTGGCAGACCGCGTGTCACTGCAGGGCCTGGCAGACCGCGTGTCACCGCAGGGCCTGGCAGAGCGCGTGTCACTGCTGCTCGAGGCACGTGCTGTCTGCCGGAGACGGGGCACCATCCCCGCAGACGTGAGTGGCATCCCGCCCCAGGTCAGTGGGGTCCCCGCTGCCCCTCACCTGACCTGGCTCCTGTCGCCACAGGCCTGGGGCAGGCCCTCGGTTGAGGCTATGATTGCTATCCAGACCTCAGACCTCTCGAATCGCAAACCCATTACGTCCTAAGGGCCGGGCCATGGTAGAAGCAGAACTCCGACCCACAGCTGCAGCAGTCTGCCTGAGATATCTCTGAAGGACAACCCCGGGCAGGCAGCACACAATCAACAATGGACGCTTCCTCGATGTGTCCCTTCTTCTACCAGGACCAGCCCTGCACGTGCAGGAGAGCCTCCGGCCTTGCCTGCCCTTCCATGCCCACCCTCCCCCCAAACCTTCCTATCCTCTGCTCCAGTCTGCCAAACTGCCGGGGCAGGCTCCTGCGAACCATCCTTGCTTGTTCTCGCTTGGTGGGTCTGGGCGGCTCTCCATGCATCAGAGACCTTGCTGCCCGTGCTATGGAGACAGGACCTTGTGTGGCCTGCTGGGCAGGCCCTGACTCGGCCCTTAACCGTCTTGTTCACGCTGGATCCTGAGATCAGGGTTTATCTGGACTAGCCGCAGCCGGGGACGCAGCCTGGAGGATCCCGTCAATCACTGCTTTTCACAGGCCTCCACGTAGGGCGTGCCAGCTTCCTAGAGCAGGTCCTGACCGCTCCTTCCCACAGGAGCATCTCGCAGGCACTCGGGGGGGGGGGACGAGAGCCTGGTCCGGGCCGGCTCTCCTCACGGTCATGTCCCACCATTGTGTCCTCTTCCTGACCCCGGTGTCCTCTCTCGACTCTCAGCTCTGAGTCCTGAGGGTGAGGCAGGGCACGGCCCTGCAGGAGCCTTGAGGCTTGGTGGCTGCGGTTCATGTCCAGGATGCAGCAGGCCTCGGGTGACTGGGGCCGGGATGGCCACCGAGAACGCCGTGCAGAGACCCACGCCTCAGTCCTCCCCAGCTCTGCGGGGCTCACCGCGTTGTGGTGTCCCCAGCTCGGCGGCCCAGCTCTGGGGGTATCACAGAGAGGGCCAGTGTCACCAGCCAGCATCTGTCCAGCTCAGCCAGGTTACTGCAGGTAGCTCTTCCTCGGGAGGGGGCTGGGTAGCCACGCAGGGGTCTCCCTCAAGCTCCTCTTCAGCTGGGCAGCCCCCTGTGCCCATCTCTCCCCGGGAGGGCCTTGGCGGCCAGGGCATGCACATCCCAACAGCAGAGGAATTCTTTGTTAGGGAACATCAACCAGTCTCTTGCTCCTCGATCTCTTCAAACTGCATCCCAAACCAGCTGCTTGTTAGGGGATGTGCACCGAGTGTAAATCCTCGTCAGGTCAGCTGAGTTCTGAACTGGATTCTCTCCAAAGTCCCTGCCATGTATGTGGAATGTGCGTGAAGTGGGGGAGGGAGCTCCAGGACCCGGGAAGACTTTGGGACGGTCCTCCCCGACCCCTGGCCATAGGAGCACCTGCATGCATGAACTTCCCAGCAGAAAGCTGCCTGGACGAAGACACAAGACTCCTCACCCAGTACTTGGGAGCACCTGAGTACCACTGTGAGGAGCACCGTGAGGAGCACTGCGGGGTCACCCGTGAGGAGCACCATGAGGAGCACTGTGAGGACGAAGACACAAGACTCCTCACCCAGTACTTGGGAGCACCTGAGTACCACTGTGAGGAGCACCGTGAGCAGCACTGTGGGGTCACCCGTGAGGAGCACTGTGAGGAGCACCGTGAGGAGCACCTGTGTGGAGCACCTGTGAGGAGCACCTGTGTGAAGCATTGTGAGGAGCACCGTGAGGAGCACCTGTGTGGAGTACCTGTGTGGAGCACTGTGAGGAGCACCTGTGAGGAGCACCTGTGTGGAGTACTGTGAGGAGCACCTGTGAGGAGCACCTGTGTGGAGCAGCTGTGTGGAGCACCTGTGAGGAGCACCTGTGAGGAGCACCTGTGTGGAGCACCGTGTGGAGCACCTGTGAGGAGCACCTATGAGGAGCACCGTGAGGAGCACCTGTGTGGAGCACCGTGAGGAGCACCTGTGAGGAGCACCATGTGGAGCATCTGTGAGGAGCACCTGTGTGGAGCACCTGTGAGGAGCACCGTGAGGAGCACCTGTGTGGACCACCGTGAGGAGCACCGTGTGGAGCACCGTGAGGAGCACCTGTGTGGAGCACCGTGAGGAGCACCTGTGTGGAGCACCTGTGAGGAGCACCGTGTGGAGCACCATGAGAAGCACCTGTGTGGAGCACCGTGAGGAGCACCTGTGTGGAGCACCTGTGAGGAGCACCTGTGTGGAGCACCTGTGTGGAGCACCTGTGAGGAGCACCTGTGTGGAGCACCTGTGTGGAGCACCGTGAGGAGCACTGTGAGGAGCACCTGTGAGGAGCACCTTGTGGAGCACCTGTGTGGAGCACCTGTGTGGAGCACCTGTGTGGAGCACCGTGAGGAGCACCTGTGAGGAGCACCTGTGAGGAGCACCTGTGTGGAGCACCGTGAGGAGCACCTGTGAGGAGCACCTGTGTGGAGCA